AACTGAAATTTAGGATTGTTGAGCTTGGCTGTTTGACACTCAAAAACAATAATAAAGAAGACTAGGAATCTCATATGTTAAAAGATTATTGCTTCTACCAGTTATTTAAATTTTATTGATTTAATATTTAAGGTTTTATTTTTAAAATTATTAATATATATAATTTATTTATTAAAATTTTAGTAAATATTTACCCTTAAATTTATGCTTCCTTTTATAAGTATTTTAGAGATAATGAGTTCAATCCGCCCATCTACCACATGTTTTCTTAGTCATCAATGTCAGAGGGATAGAAGGTGATAGCAAGTTTGGTCAAGCTTCTTTCAAGTCAAAGTAATTTTATTTTTTTCAAAAAAGTATTTTTTTCTTCAATTTGAGGTGTTTGGTCAAGCTTTTTTTTGGAAAAAACGTGCTTTTGGCTAGAAGCAAAAACAGTTTTGAAGAAGAAGAAAAAAAGAGTTTTTCCCTAGAAGCAGAAGCAGTTTTGACTTTTCTTCCTACCAAAAATACCCTTAGCAAAATATTATATACACCAAAATAACCTTACTTAGTTTAAGCTATTAAGTAATATATAATGTATTTTGGGATAAACTTTCATATTCATTGAATGTTTTTAGATATATTCAAATCATCTTGAAAGAACAAAGTACTTTTTAATTTTATTTTTATATTTTAAATAAATAAAATAAAAGACTTAATCATTATCTTTAATAATAAATATTTATAATTATTTACCTACTTATATAACATTAACTATTAAGCAAATCTCTTCATGTACTTATTCGTAATTGACACTTAAAAGCACTTTTTAAAAAGTTTGGTCAAACACAAGTTGTTGTTCAAAAGTGATTTTCACATTGATTAACGAAACACAAACCCGTTTTTCTCCAAAATTACTTTTTCGAGAAGCACTTTTGAAAATTTCTCAAAGTAAGCTGATTTTTCCAGCTTGGCCAAACCGGCTAAAAATACAGAGGAAATGATCAAAATCGTCCCTAATGTATGGACGTTGGATCCATTTGGTCCCTGATGTATAACACCTAATGGGAAAGGTCCTTAATATATACCAAAAGCTAATCAATTTGGTCTTTAGCCCTAAAAAGTGACGGCACCCACTAAAAGTCCGTCAAAATGAACAGAACCCACGTGAGAAACAAAAGCACCTCTGCCTTCTTCCATCATCCCCAAATGTGGAACCATCTCTTTTCCAACAAAAATTATTTTTATCTCTCTTACGGGTTCATCACTGTGTTGCTGTTTTTTGCTATGTTGAAACCAGAAGATGCTATTTTTTTGTTGAATGAATCTACTGTCCTAGAAAAGTAGTTGTAGTTAATTGTTTAAGCCATGTTAACTATTTTGTGCTGATAAGCATTACGTGCTGAAAAACACTTTTATGCGCTGAAACTGATTTAAAAAATAAGCAGTTATGTGTTTGGATAAAAGTGCTGAAATTAATAATGTGCAGCTGAAGAACTGGTATACAAAGAGTTTTGTTTTAAAAAGAAGTATTTTAGGGATAGAATAGTAAATATTTTGGTCAAACTTAAAGTGCTTATAAGCTGAAATTTGATAAGTTGGGGGAGACCAACTTATGACTTTTGGCTTATTTTTGGCTTATAAGCACTTTTAATTTTACCAAACGCGTAAATAAGCCAAAAAATACTTATAAGTCAGTTTGACCAGCTTATAAGCTTAGCCAAACACCCTCTAAGGACCTTTCCCATTAAGTGTTATACATCAAGGACCAAATGGATCCAACGTCCATACATTAGGGACGATTTTGATAATTTCCTCTAGAGATACACTACAAACGTCTTGAGTTAATTTTCTATAGCTTACTTTTATCATAAGAAAGTCCCTTCGTCTCTCTATTAGCAATAACTACAACCATTACTCATTTTGAATCAGCAGAAAAGCGCGCGATTGATGAAACCTGAGGATCTCCTTCAGCAACTTAGCCCCAACCCCATTCAGAAATGCAGCCTCGGCTGCCCAATTCTAGACCGCCTTCTCGGCGGCGGCATTCCTTGCAATTCAATTACCGAATTAGTTGCTGAAAGCGGCTGTGGCAAAACCCAAATCTCCCTTCAGCTCCTCCTCTCCGCTCAGCTTCCCACTTCTCTGGGCGGCCTTTCTGCTTCCTCCTTATACCTCTACTCCGAATCTCCCTTTCCCCTCCGCCGCCTTCACCAACACTCCTCTTCTTTCCCCACTCTCCACAATCCCTTATTTATGACACCAAAAACTCGTTTTGCAGACTCAGTATTTGAAAACTCGTAGAAATTGAATTTGTCAATTGTTGTAGAGCTCTGGCCTACATTGACAATTAAAACCTGTAAATTGCATGAAAGAAATTCCCACTAGATGATCGAATTGCAGTAAAAATGAAAGTTGATGGTAAGGAAGGGGGGGG